TGGGGCCCCACCCGGGCCCCCCCCCAGCTTCTCTACCCCAGGCGTCGGCGAGAAAAGACTGGTCTGTTGTGGGGAGGCGCGCGCTAGCTGCGCTCCCCCTGCTCCCCCCCCCAGCAGACGAGGGAGATGCGGAGCGGCTTTTCTCGCCACGGAGGACGCGGGTGGTGGGACCGCGGCACGTCTGGGCGGTCCCGCCGCCCGCGTCCTCCGGGGCGAGAAAAGCCCCGTTCGTAAGTACGGATCCGACATAAGTCAGATCCGCGTAACTCGGGGACTGCCTGTACTCTGGGACAAGGCTAGCGAGCACTTTAAAGGTAAGGACCAAGACCTTGAACTTGATTCAATAGTCTATCCAGTAAAGACAGCAGAAGATAGCTGTGATATGGTGCAGCAGATCGAGTCCATGCACCTCGTGGCAAAGCTCTTTGCCTCAGTTCTCCATCTGTGGATGGGAGATAATAATCCTTCCCTTTCTTCCACTCTTATCTATCTTATTAGTTTACGACAGCAAGCAATTCAGGTCACAGTCTGTATAGCACCTAGCACACTGGGTTGCACATCTCAGTTGGAGTTTCTACATGCTATTGGACCACAACTAATGAAATTCTTCTGCTGAAAGTGCTGCTTCAAGGTACAAAGTCAGACACATAAAAACAGAATCAAAGAAACGCCTAGGTCTAAAGCTACAGATTTCGTTACAACAGACGGCCAGGTCTGGCCTTCTGCTGCAAAAGAGTCCGATGTGAATGGAACAGGCAAAAGCTGGAAAGACAAAGTGACATAACTATGCTGGTAGTCGGAGGTCACCTCATGTATTATAGCCATGGAGGGAGCTGTAAAAGTGAACAGGGAATTAAGTGACTGTATTTCAATGGCAATCTAAGATATGCAGGAGAAACAGAGTTAATCCACAGAATGGGGAAGATGGATAGTCTTCAGCTGGTATCAAGGCAGATGATAGAACAGGATTAACACCAACCCAACACAGTGCATTTATCCATTTGCTTTGGTTTTCATCCCTGGACTTGGACAAATGTGGCCAACTTAGGCAGACTGATACTTCAGCGCTGTGTGTCGTGCTCCATGCTTACTAATACCACAGCCGCCACCCCCGGTACTGTATCCATCTGCAATCACAGCAGCTTCATGACCCAAGGTTGATCATCAGCGTGACATTACCGTCTTGCTGCAAATCTAGTAGAAGATGATGTCTGCTCCCTGGACAGTGGAACACACAGGCCATCTCTTGATTAAACTCTGGGCAAGATGGAAAAACACCGACAGTGCTAGAAACACAGGGGACCCGTATTGGACTGGACAGCGGTTCTGGATAATACCCCCTCTTGCTCTCTTTTTTAAACACACATGCACTCAATTCGTGAGTTTCCCATGTGATTTCTTGATGATGGCAGCTGTGGCTTTAAGAAAAACTCCAAATCTATAGAAGGAGCCCAGAAAGATTAATGATAGGTCAGTACATATCGACTTCAGTGGAAGCAGTTAGGCTAATGCCGGGTGCTTTTGCTCAAGGTCACACAGGAAAAAACAGAACAGAGGTGAGCAATGAAGACTGTTCTCCTTCATCAGAGCATGGCATCTTTTCCCTGTAATAGCCCAGTCCTCCTTTCATTGAGAGGCTCCATTAATAAGTGCTGGAAACCATTTTCAGTTACATAGGCTCAGAGACTTGTTAGCAGAGGTATCTGTTATTTTTAATGGAAGGAAATTCCCCTTACGCTGCATTTCAGCGGCATTTGCAAAGTTCCAGAAATTCTCTCTCCTAGACATAACATGGTGCTTTTTGTTGGGGCTTTTTGCACAGAACCCCAAACATACACTTTTCCACACCTTTCTTGCAATTGCTATTGTTTGCCACTGATCCATTGTTTAGCCAGTGCCGCATTATATGGGAGTGCCATCTAGTGACCAAAGAAGCCACCTCAACAAGCTATATAATCAACACTATATGCCGGGTGGGGAAGACACGCTCTTTGGGGAACAGAGCCCAGCTTCTGAAGTGGCCTTTGATTTTGGAGTGCCTCAGCCAGAAACATGCTACGCCTGATTTTCATCAAGCTCCCATTGATTTCAAACGGAGTGGGTGATGCTCAGCCCTCCCTGTTGTATTTCAAAACTTGGACCAGCCAATGGGAATGAGCACTTTTGGAAAATCTTGGTCAAAGATTGTGCTTAATAGCTTGGAGTTACTGGCGCATCAACAGTCTGGCTAATCCCAAATATTCACAAATCCTGTATCAAGCCCTTTCCCATCCCACCTCAATAATATTGATGTTGTCTTATGAATGAGATTTAAAATAATTAAGAGGTCTTTATTTGCCTTCTGCATTTTGAGCCTTTAATTCACAATTTCCAGTTTTTTCTCCAACAATGAGGGCTAAAAGTCTCCCTTAGGGGGAAAAAAGAGAGCTGAGGTTCTTATCATAGGACCCCAGGACCTGGGACTTTAAGAAACACAGTTTATCACCAGACTCGTGATAAAATTGTGAAAATTGGTAACACTGATGATATCACTCCAGATATATTTGAAGAACTGTGAGAAACTTGACGATTTCAGTTTGCATTCAAATCTTTATCTGTGGATCTACCCAGGAGAATCTGTAGCCCCCTTGAGTTTTATGTTCTTGCCCAAAAAACTTACAATCGCCTCAAGCTACAATGTCATACTCTGGATTTCAATTCCCCTAAAGTTCATAGAGCGTTGTATCAAAACCCATTACAGTTGGGTCAGGAGCTACACTTCCCTGTGGTTCTACATAGGCAAATTGTAGTATCAGCATGTCCGTTCCTGGAATAAGGGAGAATTGGGCATGTACTTTGGGATCATTATAATGTAGTTTCACTTATGTCTAATAGCTAGTCTGTCCTCACTTATGACACTAAATAGCTGAAAACATATAGCCCCTCTGCACACACAATTCAATTTTGTTTTCTGCTTCCTCTCAGACACTCTCTTCCTCTTTGTTCCTAGAACATTCCTCATGAAGTTTGCCTCTGCAGAGTGCTCGTTAAAGCCTTGGTGACCTGTTGCCATGTACACACAGCAGCTTGCAATGTGTTATTTCAACTGGCTGATGCTCCTGGCTGAGCTGTTTCCATGGCAAGCAACAGATTAATGTTATCTGAGGATTTTGTTTACTGACATTGCAGTGCGCTGCTGAAAAAAACTTCATAAAAAACAAATACAAAAGTGTGTCTGAGGCAAAACTGACTCCTATCTGGTGTTAGCTCAGGATCTGTTGCTTCGTGGAAGTGCCTGTCTTTTAGCAACGCTAGAAATACTATTGCCATGGTCTTACATTGGACAGTGAACTTGAAAACATCTGCTTTAAGGCACGGCCTAACTTTAGTCCACAGCCTCTGTCTCAGGCCCAGTGCTCCAGGCTCTCTCCCTTACATGTGTACCCTCACAACACCCCTGTGAGGTAAGGCAGTGTTATTATCCCCTGCACCCACCTAGAGAACTAAGGCACAGAGAAATTAAATGACTTGCTCAAGGGCTCAGAGGAAGTGTGTGGCAGAGCAAGGAATTGAACATGAATTAGTGAATAGCACCCTAACCACTGGGCCAACCTTCTTGCACCATGACATCCTCTCCTGATTGAACTGTAGGCTTCACAGGTGGGATGAGCCATAGACCAACCATTAAAGGAAAGACCGTCTCAGGGTGAGTGAGCGACCCCTCTACCAACTGCCCTTTCCACAGCTCATGCCAGGGAATGACAGAGCTGCATGGGCATGTGTTTACTGAGGGGAAGAAGAAGTGGACAGCCCATGCTTTAGTTTCCCATACACTGCAGCTCCTCATCTGGGGTATGTCTAAACTACATGGCTCCGTTGACAGAGCCATGTAGATTTGTTTGTTTGGCAAAGGGAAATGAAGCCGTGATTTAAATAATCGCGGCTTCATTTAAATTTAAATGGCTGCTGTGCGCTAATCTTAATTCTCCCGCGCCGACATGAAAGCCCTTTATCGACCTCCCCGGTAAACCTCATCTTACGAGGCATAACGGGGAGGTTGATAAAGGGCTTTCAGGTCGGTGCAGGAGTGTCCAGACTAGCGCGCTGAGCTGACAAACAACTGATGAGCTGTTTGTTGGCTCAGCACGGCAGCCATTTAAATTTAAATGAAGCTGCGATTATTTAAATCACGGCTTCATTTCCCTTTGCTGATCAGCCTAATCTGCCATCGATGGAGCCATGTAGTTTAGACACACCCCTGGAGTCCATCTCCCCCATGCCAGACCTGTGTAACTAGCATGGATAGGGTGGTTGTGGGAGCCTCTGCCCCTCCTTGCCAGACATGGAAACGGGACTTCTCCACTGTCCCATAGCTCTCCGGGAGACATGCCCCCTCTCCAGATGAACGGGGCCTGTCTCCTCTCCATGGCACCCTCTGAGGAGCTCGGGCCATGCAGCATCTCTCAGAATTTTCCCTGACTGGCTGAATCCAATATTCACCTGCACAGACTCTACCCCGAATAAGTCCCATCAGCCTGCAATGGGACTAACAGCAGCATCCCAGAGACAGCAGCCCCTAGGAACAGAGACCAGATGTCACAGCAGCTGATCTTGTGGGCAGGCAGACAGCCCCCTGTACACTCATGCCTGAGGAGGCCATTTTGGGGCTGGACAGAACTCTGTAATGATCCAGGCCCTAAGAGCGGAGCACTCAAAAGCTAGAAAAGGTCGAAGATAAAAAATTCAGTTGACAAAATGGGAAGAAAAATAGGACAGGTGAAAAGAAAATCCCCTATGAAATAGATACCGTCTTTATACTGAAGCATATATAGGCAACCGGACCAACCCATTTGTGCCAGCCTACTGCAGCTTCCCCACCCCTCACCCTCAGACCCATCTGAAGTGCACCACCTATTGCTTTAAAAGGCCCAGGGCTCCATCCACCACTGCTGACGCACTAGCAGCAGTGGCAACTGGGAACCCCAGGCTCTTCTGAATTGCTGGGCCCCAGGGCAACTGCCCCCTTTGCCCGATGAGTGGGCCTGCTTGGCCTGGTGGTGAGATGAGACGTTTAGTATGCACCCACAAATCCCATTATAAGGGTGAGTGTGGCGAGACAAAACACCATTTGCACTGGGTAAGGAGACACTGCTACGGCAAACACCTGTTAGCACCACCACCAGGAAGTCCTGGGGTAATTTAAAGGCTAACAGATTTATTTGGGCATAAACATTTGTGGGCTAAAACCTGCTTCGTCAGATGTCTGAATCTCTACTCCATGCATCTGCTGACGAGGGTTTTTACCCATGAAAGCTTATGCCCAAATAAATCTGTTAGTCTGTAAAGTGCCACAGGACCCCTCATTGTTTTTCCAGATACAGACTAACAGGGCTACCCCTCAGATGCCTGTAAGCACCAATTATTGTCACTGGCATGAATCGAGTCATAAGGTGGTCAAAGGTGTATAGCAGCATTTGAAACCCCAAGTGGGGTCACACCCTCAGCCAATGGTATCACAGCAATCCCACATGGGCTGAGAATGCCATCTTCACCCTAAAATGGCATCCTCCATGCTGTCTGGTGTCACAGGATGCAACAAGTGTGGAAATTGGTTACATCTGCATGACACAGCCGGTTAACTGGGAGATGTCCCTTTAAGACATGTTAAAGGGGGCTATGCTCATTCTTTTTACAAAACTATAATGGATTTTGTACAAATTAAGCCTTGTCACGTTTCATTTGAAAACTCATAATTTGTGTCCTGGTAAAATATGTGAGGCAACGTGGTATGTAAAGTAATAAGATTTTATCATATAACATTACTGAGACATATTCCAAATATAAAAAAAGCAGCAGCAAATGGTTTCTTAAAGACACAAGGCAAATGAATGCCTCACCCAGGTGTCAACAACATCTAAAGGACTGTCAGCTGGTCAAATGACCATTCTTTGACAGAAAAAGGATATGAGCCAGACATACACACATTGGCAAAAAAACAACAACAACAACAGCAAAAAAACCAACCAGCTGGAAGTTCACATCTCTCCAAGCTTTGTTTCCTAAATCTCAGCTGTAGACAATTCTCAAAGAAAAGGAAAAAAATAAAAATGAGGAACAGTAGTCCCAGATCGTCCCTCCCTTCATCTCTGCTCACAGCAACTGGTCTCAATACCTGAAGGACAAGAAAATTAACACTGAACTGGGGGAAGAGACCCTGATTAAAAGGATTCCAGACAGTAAGACTGCTAGAGCAAATGGTGAGAGATACTTTTTCTTTGAATTAACTTAACTTGTTAAATTTGGTATTACCAGTTCTTATTTTTATGCCACCTTACGTGCAATAACTTAAAATATATTTTTAGTGAATAAACCTGTTTTATTGTTTTATGTAAATGGATATGTGTTTGAATAACTCCATCTCAGATAGCAAGATTTGTGCATATTGCTTTCTGTGATTGAAATGATGGACTTCATGAGTGTGTCTAGACTGCACCTCTCTGTCGACAGAGAGATGTAGATCAGGCACATCGAAATTGCTAATGAAGCAGGGATTTAAATATCCTGTGCTTCATTAGCATAAACTTGGCCACTGCTTTTTTTAAAAAAAACGGCAGTCTAGACGTGGATCTGTCAAAAGTAAACCCTTTTTCGACAAATCCTGTATTCCTCAAAAGATGAGGTTTACAGGATCTGTTGAAAAAGGGATTATTTTCAACAGATCCATGTCTAGACTGCCACTTTTTTTCGAAAAAACTCAGTTTTGAAAAAAGCAACGGCCATGTTTATGCTAATGAAGCACAGGATATTTAAATCCCTGCTTCATTAGCAATTTGAGTTGCATCCTTCTGTCAACAGAGGAATGCAGTCTAGATGTAGCTCATATGGGCTTGTTTTGCCTAAGAGTCTGCTGGGCAGTACAAGATGCACATTACTGGGGGGAAGTCTGGAACTGAGAGTTTGCTGGTGTTTCCCTGCAATGTAATTCAAGAGTGGCAGGCTACAGCACTCATACAATATATCTGTAGTCCTTTGTGCAGGGGTAACATGGGCAGGGCACGAGAGGTCATGTGCCCCCAAAACTCTCTGGGTGGGAGGGGCCAGCCAGAAGGTGGAGGGAAGTGGGGGAGAGGCCTGGTGTCCACAGCCAGGGTTCAGCCCCCTGCACTTACTGACAGCAGCAGGGGGAAGCAGAGCAGGCCGGCCCCTGATGCTTGGCTCTCCTGGGCTACGCCTACATTGCACAGTTATTTCAGAATAAACTATTCTGGAATAGTTATTCTGAAATAGCTTATTTCGAAATAGCACGTCTACACTGCAAGGAAGCCTCAAAATCAGTCTTCCCTAATGTAGTCGTGCAATCTCGATTTAGAGCCCCAGGAGGAATAACTTAGAATGGCTCTGGTGAGGGGCTATTTCAAAATAGCAGAAGTGGGGCGTCTACACATTTCAAAATAGCTATTTCGGAATAGGCATTATTGTTCGTAGAATGAGGTTTACAGAAATCGGAATAATCTGTCTTATCTCAAAATAATTTTAAAATAGCGGAATTGCTGTTTAGACGCTCACATTGTTATTTCGGAATGACGGCCATTATTGCTGGGTAGAAACACCCCAGGCGTGCAAGCAGGACCACCCTGCACTCCTCGGCAGGAAGTGGAGTGATACAAATGGGGAAGCAAAGCCAGCTGAGGCCACCTTGCTCCACTTCCCCCCACCACTGCCGGTGAGTGCAGGAGGGCAGACCCCTGCTGCCAGCACTGGCCCCCCAGCCCCACTAGTCCTAAGCCGCCTCAGTTGGAGAAAGAGGCACGGAGGTGGGGAGGAGAAGCCAGGAGAGGGTGGGGAGAGACTGGGCCTGGGACAGAGGAGAGTGGTTCAGGAGTGGTTACTCTTATAGTAACGCCATGTAAGAGGCCCCTCTGGGTTGGTGAATTGGACACAGTGTCAATCAGTCCAGCTTGTTCCCTGGGCAGTGTCACAAGGAGGTAGGAATGAGAGGCAATAGGTGCTAGGTAGATGCCCAACTAGCACTCCACACCCAGTAGGTGCAATAGGTTAGGGTATGTGACTGGACTCAGACTCTGTGTGTGCACCCAGTCAGGGCAGCTTGGCATAGTCCATGTGTCCTGTGTGGATTGGTAGAAGCAGAGCCACGGGAGCAAAAAACAGGCCCTTTTCCCTAACTGAGGCTGAATACCGGACACCTGGCAACCCTAAGTCTCCTTTATTTATGGTTCTGTCTAACAGCGAGATAATGTCTCCAGCATATAAAGTAGCCATGTTATGTTGTAAAATTAAGTCATTCCTTTTGGACTTGATTGTGGGGGGAGGAGGTGACTTTGTGCAATCCATACTGAAAATTCTCAGTGCCTAAGTTCTGGGGAGCCATGTGCTTTTCCATTGGAGTTGAGTTTTTAGGCACTAGGGGAAGGGCAGTGAAGTAAACTCAACCGTACCTAAAGGCTGCAGTCAGACTGCCTTTATGTCCAGTGAGTGGTGGACTCGAGGTGACATCTACTGGTAATAAGGGATATGGCATGATACTTGCTCCAGCCTTATTCTTCTGAGAGGAGGACAAGGCGACCAGATAGCAAGTGTGAAAATTCAGAACAGATGATTGGTGGGGGAGAGGGGGTGGAAGGGAACAGGCCTTATATATATATAACACAAAACCCTGAATATCAGGGCTGTCCCTATAAAATTAGGATATCTGGTCACTGTAATGAGGACTAATTCACTGCACAGCTTTCCTTTCATCTACTATAGGAGAGAAATAGAGATGGGGCTGTGTTAGTCTGATCTTGCTGAAACAAAAGAGAGGACTATGCAGCACTTTAAAGACTAAGATGGTTTATTAGGTGATGAGCTTTCGTGGACCAGACCCACTTGCTCAGATCAAATTCTGGAAGAGAATTGGCATGACCATATAGACCCAGGCTACGTCTACACTGGCATGATTTTCCGGAAATGCTTTTAATGGAAAACTTTTCCGTTAAAAGCATTTTCGGAAAAGCACGTCTAGATTGGCAGGATGCTTTTCCGCAAAAGCAATTTTTGCGGAAAAGTGTCCGTGGCCAATCCAGATGCGGTTTTCCACAAAAAAGCCCCGATCACCATTTTCGCGATCGGTGCTTTTTTGCGGAAAACAGTACTGTGCTGTTTACACTGGCCCTCTTGCGCAAATGATTTGCGCAAGAGGGCTTTTGCCCGAATGGGAGCAGCACAGTATTTCCGCAAGAACACTGACAATCTTACATGAGATCGTCAGTGTTCTTGCGGAAACTCTGTTCTGATTTGTCAGTTTTTATAATGTGTTCACTCTTTTTTCATTGTTCCAAACGGCCAGTGTAGATAGCTGGCAAGTTTTTCCGCAAAATCATATGATTTTGCGGAAAAACTTGCCAGTCTAGACACAGCCCAAAGGAATACAATGAAAAAAGAGTGAACACATTATAAAAACTGACAAATCAGAACAGAGGGAGGGTGAGGGGGAGAGCTAGTATCTATGAAATAATTATACTATGGATGATAATTGGGGAAGCCATCTTTGTAATGGGTAAGGTAATTAGCATCTTTAATAAGGCTCATTCGTAAAGTGTCAAATTTAAGCATGAATTTGAGAGTTAGTGCAGCTGTCTGAGTGTCTGTCCATCTGTGAGTCTCTTTGTTCAAGATCTCCTCCTGATTGGTAAGAGCTAGGACCACCAAATTTGCTATGCAGTGTCCTCTTATTGTAACGTTCAGCAAGGTCAGGGTTTGGTTGTGCCAGGACAATGGAATGTGCCTGGAATGTGATTGTTTCTCATAAAACAGTAAGGGAAGGGTCTGCTAGCTGACATAGTTATACTACAGAATGACCACAGAGGAAGCAGTGGATATGTAAGACAATGACCAGCTGGGGGAGGGGCTCTGGATGTTGCTAGCCAGCAAGCAGGAGTTGTTATTTCAAAATAACAAGCCCTTTCTTTTGAAATAATGGGCTTGGTAGTGTGGACGCTCTCCTTGTTATTTTGAAATAACTCCCTACTGTAGACATGCCCATTCAGAGCTACGGTACCTTAGACAGTAAATTTGAGTTTCTAGGTGCAGTGCTGTTGGTTTCTCAGCAGGTGGCACTCTGGACCTTTAGGTACGGTAGGTCATCCAAGCAAGATATACAGAGTCCTGAAAATCCACGAAGGTCTGCTTTATATCCATGGCTATCTGCATCCATGCCTGTGGATAGCCATGTGTCAAGGCTGTTCCCCACTTTGGCATTTTGAATGCAAAAGGGTGATTTTTATTAACAACAACAAAAAAGAAAGAAAACACACTTTGTGAAATATTACTTGATTGCCAGGTGTTACAGAACAACTAAAAAAAGGATTAAAACACATAGGCTGCGTCTAGATTGGCATGATTTTCCAGAAATGCTTTTAACGGAAAAGTTTTCCATTAAAAGCATTTTTGGAACAGAGCGTCTAGATTGGCACGGATGCTTTTCCGCAAAAGCACTTTTTGCAGAAAAGCGTCCATGCCAATCTAGACGCACTTTTCCGCAAAAAAGCCCTGATTGCCATTTTCGCGATCGGGGCTTTTTTGCGTAAAACATATTTGAGCTGTCTACACTGGCCCTTTTGCACAAAAGCTTTGTGCAAAAGGGACTTTTGCCTGAATGGGAGCAGAATAGTATTTCCACAAGAAGCACTGATTTCTTACAGTAGGAAATCAGTGCTTTTGTGGAAATTCAAGCGGCCAGTGTAGACAGCTGGCAAGTTTTTCCTGAAAAGCGGCTGATTTTCCGGAAAAACTTGCCTGTCTAGACACAGCCATATTGTATCTAGTACCCTGCAAATTAATGTATATCCATGGATCATTTTTACAGATACAGATGGGGATACTCAATTTGTATCTGTGCAGGGCTCTAAAGATAGTCAAACAGTATCATTACAGCCATGTTGGTCCCTGGATATTGGAGAGCTTAGGTAGATGAGGCAATAGCTTTCACTGGACCAACTTTTGTTGGTGAAAGGAAGACGCTTTTGAGTTACATAGAGGTCTTTTTCAGGTCTGGGGAAGGTTATGCATAACAATCTATCCCTCAACTGTCCACTGAGTTTCAGTGGTCTCCTTCAATGTGTATTGATTACCTCTAATGTCCCATCTTATAATTAACTCGAACACTGTCATTTCCTTCCCCAGACCTGAAGAAAAGCTGTAGCTCAATAGCTTCTGTCTTCCACCAACAGAAGTTGGCTCAATAAAAAAGATATTACCT